TGCCTAAAATTAAAAAATTTGTCAACTTTTTGTTAATAATTAGCAATTAAGTTACACATATTAGGTTAAAATAGAACTCTCCCTATACATATTAGGCTAAAACGGAACTCTCTGTTAATTGTTAGCAGGTGGGGCTAGCTCACGTGCTAATAATTAACTAAAAGTTTACATAATTTTTAATTTTGGGCATAAATCTTAACAAACTTTACCACAGAGGCTTAAATCCTAATTTTTTAATTACAGAGATTATCTTCCAACTATCTTATCACCACGGAAACTATTAATCCAATTAAGCCTAATAATATTAAACCATGCTGTACCTGCACCTTATTGCTTAGCTTACTACATAAGCTGACTTCCTCGAAGGAAATCATGCATGAAAATCTCCACGTACATAAATAAACTACCAACTTAAGGATATCCTAAGCTAATTAAGAATTTCCACTAATTAAAAAAGGTTAATCAGACTCAGTAGCGGACAATACAGGGACATTGGCATCTGTTGATCCCAATAAATTTGTAAATCTCCCATTTTGATTTTTTTTTTTCCAATAGAATCCTTTTTAGATTTTCTTTGTGGGAATTTTAGAGATCCGTAAATCTTATTCGTTCATTATACATTGTGTGATCAGTTTTCTTCAACAACTGTTTATGTTCAATTTTAAATAAAAAATTTAAAATAATTTATGATCACACGATATACGATAAACGGACGTGATTAAAAAATCTCCGAAATTCTCATAAAAAGAACCCGGATTATATTTTTTGACCCTTGTACCAACATGTGGGTAAGACTTGAATCAAGACACTAGTGTCAAACGTGGAATGCAAGTGATACATATTGGGGCTCATACTATGGTAACTTAGTATATTTGATTAAACGGTTCTCTTTTGAACTTGGGAATTATATTTCTAACATGCGTTTGCATAATAAATTTTCTATGTTGAAAGAAACTAATAGTCTTGCACAAAAGTTGACGGAGGTGAAGAGGGATAGATGATACCCTTGGTGTACTTGCTACTTAAATTTAGCATTCAATTTTACCAGTTGCAACTGCTTCCGTTGAAAAAGCTTTTTTAGTGATGAATATTGTGAAGAATCCACATCGTATGGTCAGTTTTCGTCAGGTACTGTTTATGTTCAATTTTAAATAAAAAATTTATAATAATTTGTGACCGCACTATATACGATAAACAAATACGATTAAAAAAATCTCCGAAATTCTCACAAAAAGAATCCGGATTATTTTTTTTGACCCCTATACCAACATGCAGATTAAATCATAAGGATCTTTAATTAATATTTTTAATTGACATAAATCTACCCTTTCAAGTGGGTAAGACTTGAATCAAGACGCTAGTGTCAAACGTGCAATGCAAGTGATGCACATTGGGGCTCACACTATGGTAACTTAGTGTATTTGATTAAACGGTTCTCTTTTGAACTTAGGAATTATATTTCTAACATGCGTTTGCATAATAAATTTTCTATGTTGAAAGAAACTAATAGTCTTGCACAAAAGTTGACGGAGGTGAAGAGCGATAGACGATACCCTTGGTGTACTTGCTACTCAAATTAGCATTCGATTTTACCAGTTGCAATTGCTTCCATTGAAAAAGCTTTTTAGTGATAGTATTGTGAAGAATCCACACATCGTAATAGAATGGAAGATAAATAGTTGAATGATAGTTTAGTCTGTATACATGGAGAAAGATGTATTTAATTTTATTAATAATGATGTTGAGATACGACATTTTCAAAATATGAGAACACGTTGTGGTAATTATAAATGGAAGTCTAACTAATTTTTGAAAGCTATTTTTTGACCCCATCATTATAAATTCTTAACTTTGTCACTGATTAACTTACACACAACTCATATTTTACGAGAAGGTAATCAAGTCGCAGCTGATTTGGCAAATCATGTGCTATGAGCTCAACTTTTACTTGGTAGGATTCACCTCCGTTCTTATTTTCGTCATAGAGATTTGCGCATGCCTAACTACCGTTTCATATAAGATTTTATAAACTTCTTTGTATTTTTTTCTTCGAGGTTTTGGCTACTTGTCTTTCTTGTTGTCATTTTTTCTTATCTAATAAATTTTGGTAGGCTTGGTGTTTGAGGGTCGTCCTCTAGCCCACGCCTATGCGAGAGCAAAAAAAGAAAAAACTTACACTCGAACTGATGAATAATATGGGGGTGATTATAACGTCTCTGATGTTCTTAGTATGGTCACTTCTTTACAAATCTGAATTTCATTTAAAATTGATAATTGTATCGGCTTGTGTTTGGAACACCAAAAGATCCAGTAGGTTCTCTTTCCAATCATATAATGGATCATCCTCCAAAAACCTTTGAAAATTCAATGAGTTAGTAAAGATACAAATAATTAACATAAATGAATGAGCAAACCTGGGCGTGTTGGTTTCAAAATCAAATAGAACTTGACTTGTGTCAACATGTGATTTGTCTCAGATGTGTTCATTCTCAATGTCAAGAGATGGCCTAAGAGAAAATATGAGAGAAAGCGTGCCACTGTTGGAGGCTACTGCCACGTAATGATTTGTAGGTTTGCGATTAGATCTGACTCTTTATCAAAAATGATTGAGCACCGAATGAGACGCTAGTTTGGTTAGGTTCCTTTAAATGTCTCTGTGATTGAGAACTTAATTCTAGTGTGTTATATATGCTTCACCTAGGAGTGTAAGTGGAATAAAAGTAAAAAAAAAAAACTGAATGTAATCATTTCATGATTGAAGCAAGACTACAATCATTTACAAGAAAGATGGTGGGCTGATGAGCTACTATAAATAACTTGAAACATTGAAAAGTAGATGCACTTTGAAATGTTAAAAAAACAAAAACAGTAAACTATCAAGATTCAAGCTATATAGGACATGATGGTGCTAGGATTGACTAAGAAGGAAACATTGCCTTAGATCGGTGATCAACGGTGATTAGAATGATCGTCAACCGATCATTCATAGGCACTGAAGCTTTGAAGAAAGCTCTGGATTGAGCTGAAGAGATTAGGTTTTTTAAGGTTTGATTGAAGAATCACTTGAAGTTTGTAATTGTAGAAATTGAATTTGACGAAGGTTCTGACTCCTAAGCTTAGAGTCATCTACCTCCATTATTGGGATCTTGGAAAGCATCTTCATTCTTATTAGGGGTGGTATTCGTACGATTATCGTACTAAAATCCATGTACTAATTACCATACTAAATTTTTGATATGGCAAAATCTAATACCATTACTATGCCAAACTTTCGGTATACTAAATTTTGGCATGCCAAATAATTCGGTTGACATAGTATGGCAATGATAATTACCACTTTATTTTGGGCTAATCTTTTGGGCCAAAACTTGGTTTTTTTTTTTCAACCTAATTCAAGGCCCAAACGTGTTTTAGCCACTCTATTTGGGTTTCTAATTTTTTTTTTATTTAATTATGAGAATTTTACAGAGATTCATTTAAGGAAAAAAAAAGTAAATAGATGAAAGAATTGTTGAAAGAACCTAGCATCCCTAAAAACAAAGTACAAAGATTCCTAAATTCCATCTCTACATTCTTTAAAATTGTACAAAAATTAACTTGATAGATGAAGCCAAGTAGAAAGACAACCCAATTTGATGAAAGAGAATGTGAGATGGACTGCGGACAGAGAGAGTCGTCAGAATGGGAGCCACGGAGATGAAGTTGATGGCAAGGTGAGTGAAAAGACGAAGTCACAAAGGCAAATAGGCTTAGGTTTTTTTTATTGAGAAAGTAGAGGTTGGAGGGTGAGGATGGTTTTGGATAAATGATTAGGAAAAAAATATAAATTGCATATATAATGATAATAATACTTAATTATATATATAAATGAATAAATAAATAATATAATATTAATAGTAGTAGTACGGTACGGTATACCATTGGTAATGGTTTTGAATACCATTACCGTACCGAAAATGTGTGGTACGGTACAAATACCATACCATTACCAATGGTACAAATTTCTTAGCATAACTTTAGTATGATATGGATGGTAATTCAGTTAGCATGGTGATTCAGCAAAAAATTTCACCCCCTAATTCTTATCGCTAAGCTAGAATGAGGGTACATTGGTCATTTACTTATGACAATAACTGGATTTCTTGTGAGCTAGCTTGATCTTGCGTTTTTTCGATGCTTGTATAGTAATGGGCCATGCCATGTCTGACGACGCATCCCTTGAGCATTTAAGGAATCGCAAAAATTTCAAGACCTGATGGGCCATGTGGATTATGCGATTCGAGATGGACGATCGAGAGTTCGAGTTCGAGTTCTTAATGGATTATCGTGTTCCGTGGAGGTAGTCTGAGCATAGATGAGCTAGTCTGAATTGGATTGTTCTGTAAACGGCCGATGTCATATGTCTTTGGTGAAATGAAAATAGATAGCCTAGTACTAGGCTTATTTGTGACCCAAAACATGAATAGTTAAGCTTGTTAGAGCAATATACTTAATCTCTGCATCCAAATTAGAATTACGCTTTTCATAATTTAGATTAGATTAATTAGGAAAAATTTTGGGGCTTGATTGTCCATGTGGATTATCTGTTTCTAAATGGACGATTGAGAGCTCGAGCTCGTGAGGGAATATCTCATGTACGGGGAAGGTAGTCCGAGCCTGATGAGCTAGCTCAAACTGGATTACGCTATAACGGGCTGATATCGCATGTCTTTGGTGAAATGAAAATTAGAAGGCCTAGTACTAGGCTTAAATTTTATTTGTGGCCTAAATATGTATAGTCAAATTGGTTAGAGTAATATGTTTATTCACGGCACCCAAATTAAAATTACGCTATTCATAATTTAGATTAGATTAATTAGCTAATATTACTGAGAGAGAGAGAGAGAGAGAGAGAGAGAGAGAGAGAGAGAGAGAGAGAGAGAGAGAGAGAGAGAGAGAGAGGGGATTGCGGATGAATGGTCCTCTATTTGCTTCTTTTGTCATTGGTAGATCATGCAGAGTAAAAGAAATGGGTCGGCCGTTTTATTCCAATGAATCCAAAGAGAGGCACCAAGTATAATGACTGAAAACTATATAGTGCAATATTACATAAACACAAACATCTTTTGACAGGTCACCATGATACAAAATGAGACAAAAATGCATAGAAACTAAGTAGAGTGTTTATGCCTGTACTCATAACAGGAATGAAAAAAAGACAAGGGTTATGAGTGAACGACCCTAAACTTAAGTATTCCTGTATTACTAGGCTGATAAACCTATTGTGGTGAACGACCCTTGAGAAAACGCCAAGGTCCTGTTCCAGTCCCCATCCTGCAAATGTAGTATATAGCAACCTAGCTCAATTCAAGTAATTCAAATCATAACGTGGAAAGCATTGTTGGAAGAGGTCTCAATTTTGAATTCCCTTCCTCGATCAATTGATAAAATAATGAAATTATTGTTCTAGTGATATTTCTCTTTGTAATATTGTAACAGATAACAATTACGAATCTCCACTCCTGTTGTTAGTTCTAAAAAAATAGATGGAAGGATAATTACCTCCATACACCAGCAAATGCACGTAACGCCATATAAATGGTTAACGCAATCCAGATCCCAACAAAACCATGGGATTTTGAGAGGAGGAACAAGGATACAATGCTTGCTATGGCAACCAGAACCTGAGAAGCAACAAAGAAATAATTTGGATAATTAGCTAGTAACTCAACTTGTGAAAAGGGAATTTGGAAAGGTTCATTGCAGAGAAACTTACCAATGAGTATGCAGAATATGCAAAATCAGATGCTCCAAAGTTCACACCATCAAACACAAAAGACAGCGAATTGATCGGTTGCGTAGCTGCAACAAACTGGTGAGTAGAAAACAAATTAGTTGATGATTATTTTCATCCTAAAAAAAATAACAGTAATAATTATAGTAAATGAAGATTTGGAGTTTTAGAAGAGCTGAATTTTAATACCGGGAGGCCAATCTTTATAAGGTGCAAAACGTTAACATCTCTAGAAAAGACTCCAGCTCCAAAATACAGACCGATTCCAACAAGAAGAGCAAGCCCCACACCAAGAATAAAGCTCATCTACAAAACATTTTCACAAATTAGTGCCAAAAAGTAAATAAATTGGTTGTTCAAATGATGAAGCGTTTATGGTTGATAGATTTTTCCGCTGCGTGTGGAGAATGAGGAACCTGTAAAACCCGGGTTGCAGTAGCTGTGGCCTTTTTGTAGTCTTTCTCAGCAAATGCACATGCTAGAATAGCCTAATGAGAAAATACATACAAAGATTGTTTAAATAAGTAGTAAACATTTCTGCCTTTTAAGTCACGCTTATATTTATGCTCTTGTTTTAAATGAGAAAGAAAAAAAAGGAAACATATACCTGTCCTGCAACTGCCAAACCATCAGCAAGAAGAGATGATGTCAACCAGACCTGCAAGCAAGTCTGAAATGCAGCCATTGGAGTTGGTCCTAGCCGCGCTGCTAGGGATGCGGCCAAGGTCACACAGAATGTCACAGCAACCACCCTAGCCAACAATAGAGTTCCTGTGCCCAAGTTCAAGGAAAAATTGGTACTCAAAAAACCATAAATATTGTCTAAATATGCATTTCAATTATCATTTTTGGAATATTGAGGGATGGAGGTCAGATGAATTATGCTAACTATAATACTGGTTTGAGATACTGAGAATTGAGCTCATTACCGTTCTTCAGAAACCGACCAAACTGCAAATCTTTAAGACTTGGAGGTAAGAGATCAATTTTTTTGGTTAAGATTATGAAGAGTACCAGTGCCATCAAGTACCTAAAACCATTTCAAACATTTTAATCATAGAAATGATGCACCAAATCCAGTTAAAAATGTATGAACAGCGAGATTTCTACAGCAGTTGAAAATATGCAACAAGGGTGACACTACTCACTGAGAAAGAACATGTGCAATAGCTGCACCTCTGATGCCCAAACCGCAGACAAAGATGAGTAATGGATCCAAGGCAATGTTAATTGCGTATCCGACAACTACAATACGAAACAAATGAACAAATAAACTCGAGTAATTAGAGAAGAAAAGAAGGAGGGGGGGGGGGGGGGGGGTGGGGGGAGGTTGGGGTGTTGGGAAATCGGAACAGAGATTTTGGCCTACCAATGACATATAAAGGAGTTTTTGTATCCTTAAAGCCGCGGAAGATCCCTTGCATGGCCAATGTGAGAAGAACTGCAGGTGCACCGATCGACCTTATTGTCAAGTACTTCTTTGCCGGGGCTAGCATAGGGGAACCCTGCTCCATAGAAAGAGCTGTAATTCTTTCCCTCATTCAATAGAGACGGAGCTAATAAAAATGAATCACTTACCGGTTTCACGCCCATCACACCAAGGAGAACTTTGGCTGTAAGCATGAGAAAAATAGCTTGTAAAAGGCCTAATATTGCCCCAAAGATGAGTGCCGTTGACGCTGAAGCAATATGTCGCTTCTTTTTCCTGATTTTTGTCTTCAAACTGTTAATCATCAGATCTGACGGACGCTTTTCCATAGTGGTTTTGGAACCTAATCAAGAAACAACAATGCATATTATTATTTAAGATATTCTTGATTTGACCTTTGGGTTCTAATGGCGGTGACCTAGAGCCTGAAGCTTAAGAGAGAGAAAGAGTACCACCTTCTAGTTGAACACTGTTCTTAGCAGCACCGTTCTCTGCAATCGCAGGCTTAACATTTTCCGATATGACTTTCTTTGAATCAGTGTTTTTCGCTAATCCCTCGTCCGAGTTCTCACTTTTCGCTTCAGCGGCACCTTTTCCGGCTTCCCCACGCTCAATATCATCAGTTGAAGCCTCTTCCATCCCACTGTTCTGAGGTGAAAACTTTCCTAGATGCCTACCATTTTGAGGTGTATCATCACCTTTTGGTTTGGAAGCCCCTTTTTCCATGTCATCAAGCATGTCTGAATTCTTTTCCCGCTTCTCAACTTTCGCAGATTCCACGTTCATTTTTGCAACAGTATCTTCCTCGGCAACAAAGGAAGTCGTAATACTGACTAATGGGAATATAGTAATCCTTGAAGCCTGGTTGAATAGGGCAATAGATACTCCTGCTGCTGCAAGCTCCACTGGACCTATAGAACACAAAATATATCTTTCAAGTCACTCCACATGAAACAAAGGTCACTCGAACAGAACTGATAACAGTGGCTTTGGATAATACAATAACTAGTGAATTTTTAGTACAACACTGATCAATGTTGCCCAACTCCATACGATACAAGGTTTTATTTATTTATTTATTTATTATTTTATTTTATTGTGAAAATGCAGACAATTACTTATAACCAAAATTGTTTCCTAAAAATTGATGCATGAGTCCCACAACGACTATACAAAAAGAGAAATTGGAGTTTAAATATCCTAACCCTACTCCAACTAACACCGAGGTCGTTTGTAATAAAATTCCACAACTGATAGATTGTGCAGGTGGTAATTACCAAGTTGGGGACAATATCAGTGTTATTGGAAGTGGGCCGTGAGCCTATAGCCTGTTTCTCTGATAATTCTACAATGCATGCCAATATAAGCACCTTTAATAATCAAGACATGAAGCAAGGGCATGTTTACCTATATGACCGATGAATGCTGTGTCAATCAAAGAAGCAACTGGATCAGCAGCTACAGCGAGAGCGGCAGGGAATGCAATCTGTAATATCTCCTTCCCGAGCGTATCCCATTTGAAAACACGCCTGCAACCACGTTCATAAAACCAAACATCAATTAGCACTTTACCCTTATAACTTTAAATAAAGATAGCAAAGGGTGTCCCCAAAGAAGAAATAAAATTAGAGAGAGCAAAGTACTAATTAAAATATGGTAAATGTGAAACTGTATACCTTGCATCTGTGAAGAAAACACCAACAGGAATCTTCCACTTGCTCACTGGCTCATGCAAATCTTGCTCCTCAGCCATGCTTAAGTTGAAACTACAATTTCAAATTAAAATAAAATAAAACTTTCTAATGAGGCCAATTCACTTGAGCTTTTGATATCACTATACAAACGCAGTACTATCTCACAGTCCAACCTCAGTTTCTTTTTCGACAAACAATGGGACAATCTACACTAAGCTATCCAAGCTATGGAAAAAGGGACTCAAACTTGGGTACAGATTGGAGAGCCACACTGCTTTCGCAAACTTAGCTAAGCCTAGGTCTGCACAATCCAAGCTCAGTTTAATTCTCCAAGACCAAGAATCACATACCAAATGCAAACCTCAAATTAATTAAGAGAGAAAATAAATAAACCTTCTATGTAAATGTAATGCCTGAGAAATGACTCCAGGAGGACACACAAAACAGTATAAGCCCAAGTTGGATTTTATAGCACCATATCAGTGATAAAACCTTCCTCAGTTATGATGTTTCGGGTAGACTGAACATCTGTCAACAGAAGCAGCTGTTCTAAGTTCCAACATGATTTCTTTTTGCTTATAAAAATGCCAATGTTTGCGAGATAATCAAAGTTGGAGGAGGGACTCTGCTAGCATTTGCTTCAAGTGCGTGAGCAAAGACGCGTTGTGTGAATTGTATATGCACTCAGTAACAAACTTTCAATGCTAGAGTTAAGAGAAAAAAGCAGCTTCCACCACAAAATAATTAATAAAGTTGACGAAATGCTTCAAAGAAAAATTTCTTGAATATATATACATTTATACAGTCGAAAGGAGAGGAGGAAAAGTAAGAGGGACAGGAGTGGGTACTCTTAACTAATGAGCTACAAGCCATTTGTAAATACAAAATAGTATGTTATGTCACCATATATATTAAATTTGATAATTTGACAACATTGCGTCCCAAATTTATTGAAAAGAAAAAAGAATGTTACCGATAGTTAATTTGAGTCCCTAACATGTGTACATACGTATAGCATAATTTAAGTCCCAAAAGACAAAAAAACAAAGACAAAAACGAGGTTTTTAGGTCTTCCTTCAAAGCCTATGTCTACCAAAATAACCTAAATTTGAAACCAAATGATCGTTGGATTAAGAGTTCAGGGTTTCTTTGTGGAACTGTGTTCGTCCATTTTCTTGATTACAAATGAATGTCTTAATGATTTTGGATTTGTCTAAATTTTTACAAGGATGATCTATGAATGATGTTGCATGTGGTTCAATATTCTAGTAGATTGGGTTTTGGGTTTCTACCCATGCATTCCCAGTTCGAAACTCTCCCCTTTTCTAAATCCTTGTAATAGTTTCGAAATCTTCATCTTCCCATCAATAGTAATAATTTAAAAAAAAAGGTATTTAAAAAAAAATTCTATGAATGATGTATTAAGAGATAGACGGTTTGGATCGTCAAAATACATTACAAAGTGGGCACACGAAAAATTGTATAAAAAAATGATGTCACGGATCCATCTCATATATATAGGTAAAGATTACATGCCATGCCAATTATATACCAAAACTGTTTTTGAAAAAAAAATTAAATAAAATAAAACTATCAATTTTGCATATAAATGGCAAGTAATCCAAATATACATAGGGACAAATATGTGAAGTAACTCAACTCATTATAAGCACATTTAAGGTTTGGTAAACTTCAAAATTTGGGTCACTCTTCGCATACTCAAGCCCAACTCACTGACATGTTCAAGCCTAATATGCGGACAACACAGATTAGGTGATGTGGAGCATGTGATTCACATGTATGTTGACCTATATTTATACTATAAGAAATTCTACTACAAATCATATAGAGTAATTCAACTCTTTATAAATTACCTTCCATGTATACAGTCTAATAAATATGTAATTGGCAGGTAATCCATATATTAACTGGTGATAATTCAAAGTTTGTTGGGAAAAATCTATTAGTATTCTCAAATGGTCATCGCGTATTTTTTATTATTTTTAATTAGGGAGAAGTGATAACTATTTAGAGTGTCAATAATAGTTTTTTTTTTCTTTTTTGGGAAGAAACGATATCATGTACACTAAGGGAGAAGGAGTGGGCTTAGCCTCATAATGAGCTAGTATTAATTGTATTTCAAATTTGCTTTTGGCAAAAATAGAACTTAAGACCTATCACTTAAAAGTGAAGAGAAATACCACTAGGCCGTGATATTAAATGGCAGAGTGTCGATGATAGTTTTCAAATTTTTAAATATTAATTTTTTACATTCAAGACTTACATTTGAATCTTGTGCCTAAAGTGTTACAAATTTCCATTTGGCAATATGGGATCGGGCAAGGACAAATATTGTATAATAACCCTTTTTTTTTTCTCTTTAGAAACGATATTATCTATACTAAAGGGAGAGAGTGGGCTTAGCCTTATAATGAACTAGATCACTTTTAGGATCATGCAATGTTGAAGAGGGAAGGGACAAGATATATAGGTGTGACCAAACTTGGATATTGTGCACATAGAATTCAGATCTTTTTCGAAGATTGTAGTTAGGAACCCAAGAATCGAAAAATCTGGACTGTTCAAAGAGAAAGATTTGAACCCTTAATTTGTGTAAGAGCCAGTGAAATAGATATAATTTAAAATAACTGGTCCGGGATCCAAAAGGATCTCAATTCGTGCACATATATATACCTCCCTTGGGTTTACGATCCCTGGTTAGCACCACAAAACATTACGGCAGGTGTTTTCTATATTGAATATCAACAGAACAGGAGTCTTATTTATCATCTAAATAATCACACATAAAGTTTAAGATGAGAGAGAGAGAGAGAGAGAGAGAGAGAGAGAGAGAGAGAGAGAGAGAGAGAATGATCCTTATGTCCATGTCTTCTGAACCTTTCATGAAAAAAGAAGATTCGACTTGTCTCTTGTGTGAAACTAGCTTTAATTAAGGGGTGTTTAGATCCAGGTTCAAAAATTTAGAATGTTTTTAGGAACGAGTCCAGTTATTTAATTATATGTTTTTATTTCTTTTATACTCATTTTATATTTTTTAAAAATATTAAAAATCAACTAAAATCTTCTAATATTATGCATTTTCTAACTCCAAAAGAATATATTTAATATCTTATAACAAAAAAACTAATATAATAACATAAATTATCTGCAAAACATTCCACCCTAAATCAAGTAACAAATATATGAATGTATATAATACCTATACGTGAGATATGAAACCTAATTAAAAGGTAGAAAAAACATAACATACTTACAAGCAAAACATATTAATCTGTGACAGGTTGATTATAAAAAAAGAATCTGTCATATAGATAGATAAATATAATTAACTTGTGATATAGGTTGATTATAAAAATTAAAAATAAAATCTATAAATGGGGTTTAAAGTAGGAGGAAGAACGAGAAATAACAAAAAGATAAATAAAAAGAAATAAGCAAAGAGATAATTGGGAAGAAATTTGATTTTTATAATAAATCTTATCATTGAACAGATAACTATTGATAATTAAATAATTAAATATAACAAATTGAACTTATTTTAATAAACTGGATTATTCCTACTATTGGCTGAAAAAATTAGACTTATATCAAGTTTCCCCTTTAATTAATCGATGACTATTGATCTACAAGTAATTTTTTGAGCGAGACCATAGCATTGCTACGTGTGGCATAAATTCGCGCACTTAAAATTAATGCATACAATATTACATTAGACAATAATGTTTCAATATCATACAATAATGATATCGACTATAGAATATGATCATGATTATTGTTAATAGATATTCTAAACTTTTCAGGTGTAACAAAGAGCTTATAATTCAAATGTAATCATGCACCCTAGTCCAATATTCAACTCTCCTCACTCAATATCATTTGTATTTAGTTTTTTTTTTTTTTAGTTTATAAATCTATTAAGCAGTGGGTTATATTTTAGGAATATATATTAGTTTTTTTTTTTAAATAAAAATAAGACCCTTTCAAAACCATCGAACATGTGTTTTGATAAAGCCATATATCTACCAAGGTGAAAATAGTTGAGGGCAGCATAAAAAGAAAGCAAAGTTATTTCTTTTTATTTTTTCATCGTTGTAAAACTTTAAAAGTACGAATAAATAATCACTTCCTAAAAGAAATCACAATATTCGTAAGCAATTATCATTTACAGTCGTTTCATTTTACTTTATCATAAAAAAATGTTAATTATGAAGCCAGATATCATGGAAATTTGTTATGAGGTAATTTCCATATAATAAAAGAGTTGCTACATTCTCAGTTTACTTTTCTACTTTTCAAACTAATTAATTTAGGGAAGGAGCATTTGAATTTCGAAGGTGATTGTTTGAGCCCTAGAGGAATATTTTATTTATTTATCAATATTTAGAACACAAGCTATGTAATTTATTATTCCACATGCAACAATAAGTTATTTCAAACTTCCACAATGTGCATTGCATATAGTTATGTACTATATAGTAGTGGATTTGGCCAAGAATGTAAGTAGTGCATGGAAGCTACGTAACCGAGCAGCATTGTGATTGTGAAGGAAAAGAAAAAAAAAAAAAACAGAAAACATTGAAGGAAAAATTCATTATATAATCGTACGTTCATAATTATTAACTCAAAAACTGGCAATCTCTAGAGAGACGGGCGTACAAAACATTTTTAACTCATCATTGACTACAGTGAGTCTATTTAGTTATATTAACCAAGTATTTCCGTACTTGACCGTCCAGTACGGGATTCGTTCGTAAGGGTTCCAATAGTCAATTAAATCGAAGAGGATCTCGATTCCTGCACATATATACCTCCCTTGGGTTTACAATCCCTGGTTATTACCAGAAAGCATTACGGCAGGTGTTTTCTATATCGAGTACCAAAAGTTATGACACTTACAGATGAGAGAGAGAGGCATTACGGCAGGTGTTTTCTATATCAAACACCGACAAAACTTATGACACTTAAAGATGTGAGCGAGAGAGAGAGAGAGAGAGAGAGAGAGAACGATACTTATGTCCATATGTCTTCTGAACCTTCCATGAAAAAGTAGCTTCAACCTGTCTCTTATGCGAAACTAGGTTTAATTAAAAGAGGAATATGTACAAATAATTTTTTTGGGGGAGACCATAGCATTGCTACGTGTGGTGTAAAATCACGTTTATAATTAATAAGTGCATTATGATATTAGACAACGATATTTCAATATCAAACAATAATGTTATCGTCAGTCAAATATCATGGTGAATATTATTGATAGATATGTCCAAAATTTAAAACTTTTCAGGAGTAATTAAGATTTTATAACTCAAATGATTATAGTATTCTACTCCACTCTAGCCATTCAACTCTCTGTACTTGACCGTCCAGTTCGGGATTCGTGCGTATAGGTTCCAATAGTCCGAGGAGCACTCGTGTTTTGTAGGCCC